CAAATTTTGAGGCTCGGACTCCCCCGTGGCCATCAAAAACTGCAAAGTACGAGACTCGTGTGCTGTGAGGGAACAAAAATAGCAGAAAGAGGCTAAGAAAGGCCATTTCCAGGGAATGGGACTGAGTACATTCCTCTCCATAGTATCTTGCCCTGTGTCAGCCAGACTGAAAATCCTGCACTCCAAGGCACAAAAGGTAGCAGGTCTCTGAGCTCACATATTCAGCATTAACATGGTTTACATGTTTCAGCACTGAGCTGAGAATTTTCTTGTAATTTTCCACTCCTCAAGAATATGAAGGGCTAAAGTGTTTACAGACCTCAACTTAACATAAAAGCAGACAAACATTTTACCTCAAGGACACTGCAACTCTCCAGCACTACAGACATCAGTCTAGCCAATCCTACAGAACCTTCCATGCCTAAGCTTGTCCCAACTATGCTACAGACAAAAAACTTGGATCTCTTAGAACACAAACCTCTTGGGACACTACTAGTATCAGGGTGATGCTTGAGAACATTTTAATTTTACATACCCACTTACATTTGGGTAATAGAGGATCAACATCCAGAGTTATTGGGCCCTCATGGTCCTTGTAAAGTGGGTGACTGAATCCACTAAGCACCCCTCAAAGGGAGGTTTTTGTACACAGCAGCCCTGTGAATTGCCTGGGAACACAGGTAGCTGATAATTTACCCCGTAACAAGCCCAGACCATGCACCCCAAGACAGGCAGACAAGAGCATCAGCTGTTCAAAGCAAAAAGGATCACCCCATGGGCAGAGCAGAAGCAAGCTGGAGCTCCCTCACCCCCAGGATGGCTGTTGTGGCAGTTGAGGCCCACTTACATTTGGGAGGGCAGAGGCCGGCATTCCTCAGTGATATCGTTTAAGATGACATGTGCATCCTGCATGTCTTCTCTCTCACCTTTTCTCTCTGCCACATAACCCTTCAGTCCAAGAATGCCCACTGATCCTAAAGGGGAACAAAGCAGACACACAGACGCAAATCAAACTCCCCCATCTCCTCAGCTCAGCCTAAAAACCAGTAAGTTCTCAGCTTTCAGACTATTGTCCTGGCAGTGCAGCCCTCATCCTGCAAGAAAACATCTCTCATCTGCTGCTGAACAGGACATGTTTATTTCGTAACATGGGTTTTTATGGGTCCCCCAGGTCAGCAGCTCTAAAAGCAGCCTGCCCTCATTTCAGCAGGCAGCTGTAGCTAAGCAGGACTGCTGGCCATCAGGCAGGACTCTTACCAAACAGGGGCAGGGGACAGGGTGAGCAGGGGAAGCATGTGGCACTGAACCTGCAGATTAAGTAAAGCACAGCTTTAAAGAGTGCACTAAGGACAGGAAATCCAGGTCTGATGTTCCTGGGACATGTCCTTTCCTTTGTACCCCTGAACACATATCATTCCCCAAGCTGCAATGCAGCACGCGGGCACTGAAGGCCCTGCATGTAACAAGCCTGTCTCATTCCCACTCTGGCATCCCTAGCAGCCAGCAGAGAGATCTGTGGATGTGGCAAAAGAAAGAGCTGTGGATCCAGCCTTACAGAGGTTCCACACCCAATCTCTCTCTTGGCAGCAGAAACACTTATCCTGCCAGTGCTGAGGTGCTTGCTGCTCAGCTCCTGCTGGCTTCAGCAGGGATGGTAAGAAGGTCCAGGTGAAGGAGGCAGATAAAGCCAGGAAGCTCAAGGAGCTTCCACAGACCCCTGCAGCAGTTTGTTTCCTACAAGAGACTGAAAACGCAAGCAGACTGAAGAACCAAAGCTTAGCTTTGTTCTGGACTTACTCAGCTCAACGCCAAAAGTACAAATTGAGTACATTTGTTTTCAAACTGTCTGAAAACCTTTACAAACTTTCTTTTCCACAAGTTCTTCCCTGCCATTCTTCTCTTCCTCTTCCTCCAAGGACTTTCTCTTCTGCCCTTTCTCTTGGCTCCCTGCTGATGAGACTTGCTTAGTAGCACTGGAGGCTGAAAGAAAGCAAAAATGCAGGTGGCTCAAGTGTTTCAGGACTGTTTTACTTGCATAAATTCAGCAGCAAGTCCTTCTATACCAAAGCACACTCAGGAGTGCAGGCTAACACACACAGCATTAAGTGACTACAGTTATTACTGAACAACCCACAGGCTTTATTCCTTAGCTATCAAGTTGTTTTTTTGGGGTGTTTTTTTGTTGTTGTGGGTTTTGTTTTTTTTTTTTTTCAGTTAATTGCTCAAGAAGTTAATGTTACAGGCTGGAACATTTCTACATTATTAATATTATTATTATTATCCTCTATGATCTCTGCCCACAACAATGCAAGTAAACTTATTTTATTACTCTGAATGTGCATTTTTTTAAAGGGTTCAGAAGAAGGCTACAAATTAAAGCTAGCAAGAAAAACCTGATGTCAGAACTCTGGCTTTTTCCTTCCGGAGATTCAGGCTCCTATGGGTAGAGTGAATTATCCCCCCAGGTGACAGCAAGCACATGGCTGCATGCAGAAAGCCTTGCCAGGACAGCAGTCTGGGTTTGAAGCCATTTTCAGCAAGGAACAAGGAGGCAGCCTATGCCTACAGCAGAAAAGCAGCCAGGGCAGTGGCTGCGCCCAGGCACTTCCCCTCCCAAAGCAGGGAGCTTTCAGAGAACAAGGGTCCCCAAAAATCAGGAATGTACTTCTGGGAACAGGCCTAATTTTAAGACTCAGAACCCTGTTTCAAACAATGGGGGCACAGCCATGACAAGTGTCAGCCTATCTGGACTGGAGAAATAAGCACCGGGTTAATTTGCTTTGTGTCCAACACAACACATCGTGGGCTTTTCTCAGAGAAGAGTGACTCAGCAGAGGCTGATGAGGGACACAGCTCTTTACCTGGGTCACTGCTGCTGGCTGGTGGGAGACCATCGAAGAGCAAAGAGCCTTCTTTTCCTGGAGCACAAGAAGCAGACAAAAATAACTACATATTTTTGTTTCTTTCAGGGAATAATGCTTTGCCTATGTCTCTCCTGAGGTGAAGAAATTATGTCAGTTCACCAAAGAGAACCAAATTCCTACTTCCGTTACTAGTCGGGCAAATACAGGCTTTGCCTTTGTTCCAGAGAACATTTTTAAAGAATGTTTTATAGAATATATGTGGAACATCTATAATACCCTGGTTATAAAAAACCAAACAGGATGCAGCTGGTCTGCATACCAGCACTGATAACCCCACTGTCTTTATTCTATCTAACAAAGAACAGGATTTACACACATTTCATCTGAAAGAGATACTGATGCAGAAAACACAGAAAACCAAACGAATGGCAGGAACAGAGCACCCATACCTGAGTCAGCACTGCTGGATGGTGGGAGATCATCAAACAGCAGAGGCCCTTTATGGGCATCTTTCCCTGCAAGGCACCAGGCCAGAGTAAGGAAACAGTACAGGCACTCCTGGGGGGAACTGTTCTGAAAGGACCATCCCCAAGCCAGCACAGCTGTGGTAAACCAGGAGAGCTTTACAGTAATTTTAGCAGCTGCTACACAAGCAAAATAACCACCTGCCCGGGGCTGAGGTGAACTTTCGTCTTGAGAACAGGTTTTTGGTTGGTTTTTTTTTTTTTTCTAGCAATCCACTAAACCCGCATTAACATCCCTCAGCAGCACAGTGAGGGGAAAGGTTCCAACATGGTTCAAACCGCAGGGAACTGCTGTTCATACAGAACATGCAAAACCACGGTCTAAACTGCAGCGAGTCCAAGAGGAAAAGAAAACCACAAAACCCACCAAACCCGGCCATTTCTCCAGCGATTTTTAACCCGTCCCCTCATCCTCCCCCTTGCCCCTCAAGCTCCCTGTGGCGGCGGCCTGGCAGTGCGCGGAGCCACGCTGCCCACGGCTGAGCTGCAGCAGGCCCGGGGGGGCCCGCAGCCCGTCAGGTGAG